TGGTTTGGTGTGTTTGGTAATAGTCTATACAAGTTGCAAAAGAGAGAGAGAGGATTGTAGAGAGAGAGGATATTTTCCAAAATATTTCTTTACTCCTAATGTTCTCTAACCTTGAAAGATGAGAGGGATGTCCTCTATATATAGAAATATATGAGCTTTGGTCGAAAATATCTAAAAACGAATAGCTGGAGCAGTGTGGAACAGCTGGAGGAAAAATATTTGGTTTTTACATTAATGGTCGGCCAGCTTGCAGTGGTGGCCGGCCGGCAGGCAAAAAATGGTGGTTTGCTGGCCACGAACTGTGGCTACTAGCCACCTGCCAGCCATCAGTGATGGCCCGACTTCAAATGGGCATATCTCCCTCATCCATACTTGGTTTCAGGTCATTCTTGAGTCTAAATTGAAGCCCTGGAAGTCTAATTTCCAATGGTGTAGCCTCATATCTAAATTATAAGTGTGCAAATAGAGATGCCTATTTTAGTGAAGGTTGCTCAGTTTTGTCTTAATCGGATTGATGCGTAACTTCACACATCCATATCTCTCTTATCCGGACTCGGCCTTAGGAGATTCTTGGGTCTAAAATGAAGCCCCGGAAGTCCACTTTCCAATGGTGGTGACCTCACAACTAAAGTCCAAGTGTACAAAAGGATAGGCCTGATTTGGTGTGGGCTGCTCGACTTTCCCTTAACGGTTCATGCCCAACTTCTTCCCCAACTAGGTTTCTTCCCTCCACTCTTATTTTCTTCAACTCCAAACCTCTAAATAAGATGTTTGAAAGATTTTTCAAAGAGTTCACATCTCTTTCATTTATTTCCATTTTGTCCTTACTTAGTTTACCAAAAAGCGCAATTTTTAACGAAATGCGAGCTTCGGAACATCGTAGAAACATTTTCAAAAATATTTTGAAAGAGAGGGTTTTAAGGTCTAAAATAATTTTGGCCAAAATAGTTTTGGTCCAAAATGGGGTATAAGGTTGGGATTTAGAGCTCTCATTGCTGAAGAAATCGAACATTTTCATAGCACAACTTTCATCATTGAGTGATCAACCAGTGGCGCCCAAGTTTTAAGGGTGGTCAAAAATGAGTGTCAACAGTTGCCTCTCTTTGGCAGAGCTCGAAGTCATGAAATGACGTGAGTGAATGTCAAAGCTCGAAGACGACCCATTTGAACAACGTCGTAAGACTTGGGTAAATAAACAAAATGCAGATGCAGTTGGTTGAACCCGAGGGTTGCCTACGTATCCCTTTGCAAGGAATCAAACCAGCGTAGTTCAGGCGCAAAATGCAAAATGCCACACAATGAAACAAAACAATGTAATGATATACAATGTAACGAAATAATCAAACCGCAAGCAGTACAAAACCACACAAATACTATAAAAGGATGGAGATGCAAATCAAATTACATTTAACATAGAAAAGAAGTGGGCATAACCAAACGACGCTTAACATAGGCTAAGTGCCTACATCCTCAATACTGGCCTCAGCGCAACATGGATGCTTACACATAATAAAACCATGGTTTAACGTGAAACGTTGTATAAATTAAGATGAGAAGAAATTCACAATCCACAGAAATTCAGTCCACACAAGTCTAATCCAAGAGACGTATAAAAAAACAAATTTAACAAAAAAGAATTATCGATTAAATCCCTTTTATATTTGCAAAGAATATGTTTTTAGATATTATTCCATTAAGACACACAATAAGAAAGATTGAACCAAAATTTAAAACGCAAAAAAATTAGAGCTTTACGCTGTGTTTGGTCGAGGAATTTGGAGAGGGATTTGGAAAAGGGAAGGGAAAAAGTGTGTGAAACTAGGTGAAATATAAGTATTCTATTTTATTAATAATATTCTGTTTTATTATCAGCCTTCGCTGTGCAACTTTGGGAACTTCCTGCTCATTTGCTAGTATTGAAAGATAAAATAAAATAAAATTATTTGCTAGTATTATCCATGCAATTTTCTTGCATATACAATTACTAAAACTTACTTGTATAAATTAAGATGAGAAGAAATTCACAATCCACAGAAATTCAGTCCACACAAGTCTAATTCGAGAGACGTATAAATAAACAAATTTAACAAAAAAGAATTATCGATTAAATCCCTTTTATATTTGCAAAGAATATGTTTTTAGATATTATTCCATTAAGACACACAATAAGAAAGATTGAACCAAAATTTAAAACGCAAAAAAATTAGAGCTTTACGCTGTGTTTGGTTGGGGAATTTAGGGAGGGATTTGGAAAGGGGAAGGGAAAAGGTGTGTGAAAATAGGTGAAATATAAGTATTCTGTTTTATTAACAATATTCGATTTTGTTATCTGCCTTCGCTGTGCAACTTTGTGAACTTGCTGCTCATTTGCTAGTATTAAAAAATAAAATAAAATAAAATTATTTGGTAGTATTATCCTGGCAATTTTCTTGCATATACAATTACTAAAATTTACTTGTATAAAGGCCAAGTTTGGCTACAAAGAAAAAAGTGCACTTATTTCATCTTTTTATCTTTTTTGGGTCACATCAATCAACATCTCTTCTCTACTTTTTCTACACATAATACAAAAAAAGTCAAAAAGTGCACTTATTTAGTCTTTCCAAACTAGGATGAGAAGAAATTCACAATCCACAGAAATTCAGTCCACACAAGTCTAATCCAAGAGACGTATAAATAAAGAAATTTAACAAAATAGAATTATCGATTAAATCCCCTTTATATTTGCAAAGAATATGTTTTTAGATATTATTTCATTAAGACACACAATAAGAAAGATTGAACCAAAATTTAAAACGCAAAAAAATTAGAGTTTTACACTGTGTTTGGTTGGAAATTTGGGGAGGGATTTGGAAAAAGGAAGGGAAAAGGTGTGTGAAATTAGGTGAAATATAAGTATTCTGTTTTATTAACAATATTCTGTTTTATTATCAGCCTTCGCTGTGCAACTTTGTGAACTTCCTGCTCATTTGCTAGTATTAAAAAATAAAATAAAATAAAATTATTTGCTAGTATTATCCAGGCAATTTTCTTGCATATACAATTACTAAAATTTATTTGTATAAATTAAGATGAGAAGAAATTTACAATCCACAAAAATTCAGTCCACACAAGTCTAATCCATGAGACGTATAAAAAAACAAATTTAACAAAAAAGAATTATCGATTAAATCCCCTTTATATTTGCAAAGAATATGTTTTTTGATATTATTCCATTAAGACACACAATAAGAAAGATTAAACCAAAATTTAAAACGCAAAAAAATTAGAGTTTTACGCTGTGTTTGGTTGGGAAATTTGGGGAGAGATTTGGAAAGGGGAAGGGAAAAAGTGTGTGAAACTAGGTAAAATATATAAATATTCTGTTTTATTAACAATATTCTGTTTTATTATCAGCCTTCGCTGTGCAACTTTGTGAAGTTCCTGCTCATTTGCTAGTATTAAAATATAAAATAAAATAAAATAATTTGCTAGTATTATCTTGGCAATTTTCTTGCATATACAATTACTAAAATTTACTTGTATAAATTAAGATGAGAAGAAATTCACAATTCACATAAATTCAGTCCACACAAGTCTAATCCAAGAGACGTATAAATAAGGAAATTTAACAAAAAAGAATTATCGATTAAATCCCCTTTATATTTGCAAAGAATATGTTTTTAGATATTATTCCATTAAGACACACAATAAGAAAGATTGAACCAAAATTTAAAACGCAAAAAAATTAGAGTTTTACGCTGTGTTTGGTTAGAGAATTTGAAGAGGGATTTGGAAAGGAGAAGGAAAAAGGTGTGTGAAATTAAGTGAAATATAAGTATTCTGTTTTATTAACAATATTTTGTTTTATTATCAGCCTTTGCTGTGCAACTTTGTGAACTTCCTGCTCATATGCTAGTATTAAAAAATAAAATAAAATAAAATTATTTGCTAGTATTATCCAGGCAATTTTCTTGCATATACAATTACTAAAATTTACTTGTATAAATTAAGATGAGAAGAAATTCACAATCCACAGAAATTCAGTCCACACAAGTCTAATCCACGAGGCGTATAAAAAAACAAATTTAACAAAAAAGAATTATCGATAAATCCCCTTTATATTTTCAAAGAATATGTTTTTAGATATTATTCCATTAAGACACACAATAAGAAAGATTGAACCAAAATTTAAAACGCAAAAAAAATTAGAGCTTTACGCTGCTGTGTTTGGTTGGAGAATTTGGGGTGGGATTTGGAAAGGGGAAGAGAAAAGGTATGTGAAATTAAGTGAAAGATAAGTATGTTTTATTCAAATTCCATCTCTCTTTTCCATTTCTTTTTCTAAATCACTCCTCAAATCCCTAACCAAATACAACATCAGGGTAAAAATTTCTATTAAAATGTTTTGAAAAGATAGAGAGGGATTGTAACTCGCGAAGGATGGCAACAGATCTGATTTTTTGGATTTCGCACACAAATTTTTTATTTTAAACTCAACTATTTTGGTGATACAATTTTATACATTACTCTAATTCTGACAGTTTTAACCTTTCTATCCCTATAATTTACCCTATCATACCAATTTTCTCCCCTCAGACAAATACAATCGGGTCGGATAATTTTGCCATTCGTTGCACTTTAATGGACCCAACATTTTTTTCAACCATTTAACTTACATAAACTTAGAAATTTGGGGGCCCAACGCGGTGCCCTTTGTGGGTTTTTCACAGGGCTGGGCTTGAAACTCCTACGCTTAATTCAGACCCTAGGTTCAATTACTGGTCTTTGTTTGGGCAAAGAATTTCTTGAAAAATGCCACTGTACTACTGAAGCTAAGCAGGACAAAACATAACATTGAATTTTCTTCCATCAACCAAAACCATGATTCGATACAATCATATTATATATATATATATATATATCAAACATATAATATCAATTAATATATTAATAAATAAATTTAAAATTTTGATACCTATTGGCAGACCTCATGCCCACATTGACGGAGAGAGCTAATAGATAATTAAGAGTGCCACTTCTGGCTGCATTTTTCATTGATAAAGTGGCCCAAATCCTCACCAAGAATACTCATTCTCCATCCATTTGTGATGGGGAATCAAAACAACTCACCCAATATTCATTTTATGAACAGTATGAGGGCACCCCCAGTTAAAAAGTAAAATTACAAATTACAACATCAATAAATAAATATATATATGTATATATATATATTTTTTTTCTTGTTACATTACATCAAGGAATAATTTTGAAAGTAACAAAAGAATCAATGATCATCAGAATGTTGCACAATGGGAAGGCAAACCAGTCTCATGATTCACGGCAACCGTCTCTGCTGCACTACATTGTAGCACATCCTGCCTCAATTTTGCCCCGGCCGCCTTAAGCCCCTTGAGTGAAACCGCCTGATTGAAAAGGTTCAATGATGGCAATTTTGACGCTGGTGGCATCTTCCCACCGGGCAACAATCCTCTAAAATCTTCCTTCAACAATGGCACCTCAAAATCTCTCTTGTCGTGCTTCACAGCATTGTCTTTCGCAGAAATATGTGCCCCGGGCTCCATATGATTAGTTGAAAAGCTTGCCTGTCCCGGGAAATTCGGGTACAAACTCACATACCCTCTTAGATACATCATGTCAATCAGGAATTTTTTCCACGAGGCTTGCCAACCATTTGTTCTAGATTTGGGGATTTGAACCGGGTTTTTCTTGGCATCCTCGGTGAACCTCATGTTCATGTACACATAGAATTCTTTCCATTGCTTGGGGAAAAAAACCGCTCCCCAACTGCATGGTAACTGGTGGAGATAAGGCGTGTTTGGGTGGATCTGTTTGAAAAACTCTGTCGCATTCCATTTGGGCCTTTCTTTCACTACTTCTACCAAACGAGGCGTGTAGAGAGAGATCGATGAAAGCTCGGGGAGAGAGACTTGTGGGTCGTAGTGGTAGGCCAGTAGGGCATATTTGATCCATAAGTAGTAGTAAGGAGAGACTTCGATGTCGTCTTCGAGTAAAAGCCCGAAGTCATCGTCAGATGATGGGTACCAGCTCTCACTGACGGCTCGGATTAGCCCACCTTGGATGATTCGCCTTCTCAGGGTTTTGGGCCCATTAGGCCAATCGAATGAGTTCACTAGTTTTATAGTTGGCTCATCCACTCTGCTGTCCATGTTGAAACTGATTGACACTTCATCTCCCAAATAGTAGGCATTGCTTAGAGATTTGAGAAGTCTGGCTAGCGAATTAGCCCGGTTTTGGGTCACAATGTTCACTGAAATCCGCATTTTGTTCCAATCTGCACGCGACGAATTGATTGATTAGGAAAATTTAGAACAAATTAACTAAAGAAATAGTTGTAAAGTGCTTAAAAATGTTAAGAAAAAAAAAATTTGAAGCCTTACTTGATAATGCTGTGGACCGTAGATCGGCCATCCAGAGAACCTTTGACACGGAAGATTTTGGTAAAAGAACAAGGGTTGAACTGTTTGTTGTAGTCTCCGAAGCCATCTTCAATGCTTTTTTCACATTAGGATCGATATCAGACACTGCAATCAGCACGCTCGGGTTGTGAATTTTGATCAACCCTTTCATGCTACAGTACACTGCTTGTATCACGGGCACTTCAGAATTAGAAACTCCCGAGAGCGCGCCTATGCCCAAGTCAAAAATTTTAAACCTTCTCTCTTTGCATACCGCGTTTGGCCAGTTCAAAGCCGTGGCAGCGTCTTCACAAGTGCAGAAATTGCCACCCGAAACAACAATGTAGGCCTTTTTCCCAAAAGTGGACCGGAATTTTTCAAGCAGAGGACCGAGAAATTTCACTTCTTCGATCGAGTGGGCATAGAAGAGTGCATCGATTTTTTGAGGATTCATCGCGGCCCACTGTGTGATGTAACCGGTGGAGAGGGCTTTCCACCATTGGTCGTCGCGGACTTGGACAATGTCTTTGAAGATGACGGTTGTTTCGGAGACGTATGCGAGCCTATGCTCGCTGTCTCCCCAAGTTTCTTTGTCCTTGGGGTCAACTGGTAGAACGAATGAGCCGGCATTTCTGTACTTCTGAAGCTGGTAGCTGGATTTTTTTGTGGTCAATTGCAATCGTTAGAAAGCAAAAATCACAGGAAAAACAAATTGATGAGAAAAACAGCTTGCAATGACAAAAATCACCGAATTAGTTTTTAGTGTTTTTCAGATAACGGATTTTGAAAATGAAACAAATAGAGTGTCTATGTTTCATCCCAGTGACAGCCTACCAGAAATAAATTTAGAAAATAAAATCAATTTGTTAGTTACCCTCTAATATATGATACTGAGCAGACAGTTGACCATGCAATTAATTAAAGATGGGTTAGGTGACGAAGATTCCTACACAGAAAACTAATATTTAAATTAAAAAAAAAAGACAAGAAAACGACATTGTATTTAAATAGTTCTTCAAGTGCTTTCTGAATCGATTTCCTAACTTGATCTGTATTCATCTTCTATTTGAACCTTTTTTTTTCTTCTGATTTTCTTGTCAATTTACTCAATACATGATGCTAAAAAAAATTGTTTCGTCTTTTTTTTCGATGGCTGTTGAAATCATAAATAGCGCGCATCTTAATGCAATCCGTGATCTCTCTAATCTCTCTTTGTGTGTGTCTTATGTTTAAGTAATATGATATTATAGCATATTAAAACAGTTGACCAGCTAAAAAAAATTTACATTTTTCTTGATTCAGTCAAACTAAACTAATAAGATCAGAAACAACCTTCCTTCTATGACATGTTTCATTATAGATTAGTGCTTAAATATTATCTAGTTCCTGTGAATCCAATACTACATGGTTAATTTAATTAATTTTTTTCAAATAACATGAATAATTCATATCCTTAATGAAAACAATGAACTTTGATTCATAAACATACCTCAAATGAAGGTCTTCACCGGTCATGAATGTGAAGGGCGTTTCAGTGAAAAGTGTCTTGACAAGCTCTGCGGATAAAAACCACGAGCTAGAAAGAAAATCTACTCGCACAATCTTATCGACTGTGATATCATAGGCGGGGTCAGGCAAATAAAGCCCGGCCTCTTTTGCCCGAAACTTTCTATAGCTCGGGAAAGTATAGTCCTTTTGCCTAAAAGGCAAAATCCTCCCAATGCTGCCCAAAACAGAGTTCTTGTACTTGTCAGTCCCGGCCAGGTGTGTCAAAATCTGCAACATTTTCCTCCCGGGGATCATATCATCATCAAGGATGTACACGAAATCGGCTTCTGTCTGTAGAGCCATCTGGAACCTTCCATAGTACTTGAAATCGTAGCTCGAACTAATAAAACTTATTCTAGAATCATTGTAGCTATCCACAATTCTCTTGAGTGAGAGCTCATTGGGGCTGCCAAATGAAAGTACCCAAACATGGTGAAAAGGGAGTGTTTGGTGGAGCAAAGAATCAAGTTGAGAACAGAGTGTTTTTCTCTTGAAATGGTTTAGAATCACTGTGACTTTTGGGGTGTTTGGGCCTTTCAAATCCCACTTGGATTTCATTGCCATGAGTTGAGAAAGCGTTTCAGTCCCAAAGGCCTTGCTTTGGAATTGAAGTACCTCCTCATAAAGCCCTCTCTTGAGTTTGATCATCAATTCATCATTGGATTTCTTTTGTTGGAAATCTATCTTCTCATTCTCACATACTTCAGCTGGGGTGAACCGTGTGAGCGGTGGAATTTCAGCTTGGACGAGCGATGAGGCTTCTTGGTATCGACTCACCACGTGTGGTGTGATCATGAACTGTTTCCAATGCTGAGCGATTCGAGTGGCCCACGAAAAGTCCGGTTTTGTTCTTAAATCAATGGCTGGGCTCATGTAGTACAATAGGAATGTCGCGTAAATTGCAAAGGCGAATTGGAGGCAAGTTAGCACGGTGACAAGCCGGGCTGAGGTACTCTTTTGTGCTTTCAACTTGGCTTTTCCACCAACAAAATCACTCAGCATTCCTTCCAAGTAATCCCCACTTCTCGTGGTAGGATTCCGAGACAAACCCATTTCGCAAAATGCGAAAAATTTTGGGAATTTTTGACCTACAAGAATCAAGATTGTTCCAAGAAACACACAAGAGTTTAGTTGAAAACTCTATAACTTGAAAACATGACAATACCCACAACCCAAATCAACTAAAAAAGACCTTTGCTTTGTTTTGCTTTATATACATGTATAGATTTATTAAAACCACCTTGAAGAAAAGACTAGACAGTCAAGATAAGGAAGAGAGAGGGAACAAATGGGGAAGAAGGGTGGTTTGGTTTTGGTGAAGTAGATATGTGTATATATATATATAATGTAAATATATAAATTAATGCAATTATTAAAGTAATAAAGTGAAGTAGAAGGAGCCCATGAGAAATGCAGGGAAGGTCACATGGAGGGTTAAGCACTAAAATTATTTTTATTATTAACAAAAAATGGTTACATAAAAACGCATTTGGATTCACTGCTTCTCATACAATTCAAGTAATTAAAAGCCGGCTTTGTTGCCGTGAAAGTGGGCTATCCCTGCGTTTTGGCACTTCCATGCTCAATAATCTCTGTTTACTCCCATTGCCAATATTACTCTCTCCCTCTCTCTGTGTGTGTTTAAGTTTCAATACAGAAAACTTCCTATAAGTGGAAGATACCTCCTCATTCATGGAATCATTTGTTTTAGTTTTTTGAAAATTGAATTTTTTATTTTTTTGTTTTTAATAAATATTTTTAAAATTTTAAATAATTTTTTACTTTTTTAGATGCACTTTACTTAGATGTATCTAAATAATAAAATAGTTGTCAATAATCTCTGTTTAATCCCATTGCCAATTTTACTCTCTCCCGCTTTATGTGTGTGTTTAAGTTTCAATGCAGAAAACTTCCTATAAGTGGAAGATACCTCCTCATTCATGGAATCATTTGTTTCAGTTTTTTGAAAATTGAATTTTTTATTTTTTTGTATTTTTTTTTTATTTTTAGTGAATATTTTTAAAATTTTAAACAATTTTTTTTACTTTTTTAGATGCACTTTACTTAGATGTATCTAAATAATAAAATAGTTGTGAAAAAATATTTTTAAAAAATAATAAATACACAAAAATACGAAAAATGTACTAAGTTTTTTTTTGTATTTTTGGTATTTAGTGAATTTTTTAAAGATTTTTTTTTCACAAATATTATACTTTTTAAGTGTATTTATGTTAGGTGTGTCTAAAAGTTAAAAAAATTGTTTAAATTTTTTTTAAAAAATTCAATAAAAACAAAAAAATACAGAAAAAAAAAGGAAAATTTTCTAAAAAATAAATTTTAAAAACTGAAAACAAACAGAGTGATTTTTTTTAACATGAAGTTCACCAACAAGAAAAGGAGGAAAAAAAAATTCAAACTATAAAATAATAATCATATCTAGAATTCTATTTTGACTAAAACTGTTTAGCCATTGAATATTGCATTAATTATTTTGCTTCTTAAGCCTCAGTTGTTAAAAGGTATCCGGAAGTTTGTCTCAACTAATTTTCAGTAAATGTAATTTCTCATCTCATGTGTATGATGTATTTATTGGGTGGGGCCCTGGGTGGCCCGATGATGGAGTTCATCACTTGATAGAAAATTGCTTGATCGGAATCAAACTCGTGATTTATGTTTCTTGAAGTGATTGTCACAACTCAATTTATCACTTAACTAACCCAGCTTACTACTTAACTAACCCTTTGAATTGAATATTGCATTAGCCTTGATTAAAAAGTAAATGGTTTAAACTTTGTTGAAATAGTCATAAAATATTCAAAAACATTTTGTTTTTAGGGTAAAAATAAAAAGAAAATAGAACCCTCAATTTAAAGCAAAGGACCACAATTATAATATAATATATATTTGACTGCTCATTGATTAGCAAAACTCAGAAAATACTCAAAGACCTCGCAGATTCATGTTTCTGAAACTTAGAAACTCCAAATCATAACACAATGTCCATCCTAACCCAAGTCCCAAAAAATAAAAAAACCCATTTTAAATAAAAAATTTGTGAAACCCAAACCCCAATCTTCACCTCAACAAAAACCCAATAAAATAAAATAAATAAATAAAAGGTGCAGAAAAGACAAGAGAGGCCATACTCACAATCTTGAAAACAAAGAAACAAACCAAAAGCGGCTCTTTTCTTCTTCAGCAAATCAAGCTAAAAGCTATGGTTCAAGCTTGCAACACAGTTCAAGAATCACAAGGGAAAGTAGCTTAGGCTGAAGATTGAGTACAAGAGAGAGATTTATATATGTACAAAAATTTTAGCCGGTATGGGTTGACTTTTGGAATTGAATATAGAGATATGAACATGTGCATGGATGAACATTCCAGCAATTTGTGTTTAATGCATTTTTGCCGAACTTTCTGGTAAGTGGAATGCAAGGAATTCCATGGAATGGGTTTTTCTTGTAGGAAGGAGAATTCAAAAGTGCTATTCTTGTTAATCAAGTCATGATTCAGGGGACATAGCACTAGTGTTGCTGCAACAGTACACAAGAAAAATTAGATGAATAATAATGGTGATTAGGCCTAATCAAATTTTGTTAAAAATACCGCCAAATCATATCACGGGTGAGGGCCACTGATCCAAAGGTCACAAGACAATTTGGGTATGACTGATTTAGTGACATACAAAAAATAAAAATAAAAATAAAAATAATAATTAAGAACATATAAATCAATCATAAAATTAGACATAATTCTTTGACATGTAGTGAGTCCCACATTTTGTGAATCTCACATCTATGTCATAAGATTGTATCTGGTAATATGATTGGCTTATGAAATGTTTCTAAAACCATCAATTAATTTAAGAGTCATGATAGAGACCCCCTCTAATCACCACTCCCAGAACCCCCACAGACACGTGGCGGGTAGTGATTGGAAGAGCAGGAAAAAAAGAAAAAAGAAAAAGAAAATGTAACAATGAGAGAGAGAGGAGGTCAAAGGGGGTGGGGGGAAAAGGGGGCATGAAACATTTTTATTAATTTAATTATAGAAATACTATTTACTCATAAAAATATTCAAAATTTGATTACATAGTGCATACATTTAAATTTTGTGTGGCGTAGATCATATCCAAAATGAATATGATTACATATTATAAATTCTGAATATTTGTGTGGTATCTTTTTAAGATACATAGCTTTGCTAGTTTAAATAACGGTTAATTATGCTAAAACTATTTTAATTATTAACGAATATTATTTTACTAATTGTTAGCGAATATTATTTTATCTTGTAGGCTATGAACTTATAAATTTTGACCATTCAAGTAGAAAAATGAATTATTTTTGCGTTCCACCTTTCCAAAGGGGGCATTTGCTTAGTTTTTATAGTTGACTGATTAAAATGTATTCTTCATTGGTGAAGAATTAAAATAATATTTACTAATAATTCAGTGAGTGTTTGCATAATTAACCTTTTAAATAAAGTCCCCCAACTGCTACTTCAAAAAATAAAAAATAAAAAATAAAAAATCCAGGCATTTTAGTTGGATAAATTAAATAATAAGGATAAAACTAACAAAACCCTTAAAAAAAAAACAAATATATTTAAGATATTGATGATCATTATCAATTTCTTTTTACTAGTTTTGGTAAGTTAGTGAGAACTTTTATATCATGTTCTCATTTTTTTGGCCCTGACACACTGAGTTATAAAAAAAAATGTTCTCATTTTTTGAATTGTAGCTTACACAATCCAATCATCTTGGCACAACACAACCAAAAATAAAAAAATAAAAAAAAAATTAAAAATCAAATGGTTGACTATGTGACAAATTGCTGCTTCAACTTCATTTGCGTAAATTTTCAATTGCTTCATGCATCAAAATTATTTTTCAGTGTTTTTCAAGCCAGAAAATCCCGTAATGAAATGAGAAAATTTCAGATTATGACGTAAATTCCACTGAGATCTTCATTCAAATTACTTGGGTTTACCTAAACCTTTCTCTTTTTTTTTTTTTTTTTTTTTTTTGAGCGGAGTTTTTCTCCCATTGGTTATCCAACTGGAGAGGATCTTGTTGGGCTTAGTGGTACATCTGGTCAAACTTGCGGATTAAATTATCCATGTAAAAAAAATTTTTTGATCGAATATTAATAGATATATGATCAGATCATATTTGTTTTACAAAAATAGATGACATGTACGATTTTTTTAAGACGAATATGTTTCGATTTTATAGCTATCAATGCTCTATGAACTTAATTTTTTTCATAATGATATGTGCTCAATAACATTATAAAATGAACAATTTAAATTACTGAAATAAGTATAGAGCGAATCCACCAAACCCTAACCCTTCTCAACATAGTACTAATGTTAATTTTCATTCATTCACATAAAATTGAGGCTTTTGTCTGCCTCTTGAGAAAATTTCAACAGCTCACAAAGCCGACCTATTTTATTCAACAAGAGTGAAGGGAAAGAAAAATAAATAAATAAATAAATAAATAAATTAAGAAGAAGAAAACAAAACCAAAAGGTTTGCCATTGATTAGTGCATGCGTGGCTAAAGTAGTTAAGTGTCAACTCATGAAAACTAAAAATAATAGCGTAGTTTAGAACATTTTAATTTATTTAAATTTGGTCTTTATATGATTAGCTATATGGGTCAACCATCAATTTTTTAATAAGGAGAAAGATAACAAAAGTGTGAAATGAAAAAAATAACATTGCAAATAGCTAAGGATCTTCTCTTTTTAAATTTATTTCTCTCTTGCTTAATGTATCTTCAATTGTTGAATAATGTGCATTTTTTTTGAAGTAGAGTCTCAAACCATCGAAAAGGTATTAAGACAGAAAGACAAAAGAATTTGAAACTTGTCATTAGAAATTAATAAAATGTAAATAAAACATATGTATGGTGAAAGTGAGAATTTGTATCTATTTGCACAATTGATTTGTAATTTTTTTTTTCATTTATTTGATATTCCCCTTTTTAATACAACTTTATTTATTTATTAGTTAAATCCATAGCAATGTATATCTAACTTTGAGATTATATATATCTTTAAATGGGAGGGGGCATGATGCACCAAAGATGTTGCTTGCATGAATCAAAATTCTAATACATGACCATAAGGGCATATAAATGAATTCACCTTTTAAATAAATAAATTCAACATATAAATAAATTCAATATTCCCCTTCTTCTTTCACCTTTTAAATAAATCTCAATTAAAAAAATATTTTTATTTAAAAAAAAATTTTAAAGCAAGGAATCTATGACTTATTCACCC